CATTAGCCCACTTGGTTGTGTGTCTTTACCTCCTTGTACACTGTCGACATCCATTAGCCCACTTGGTTGTGTGTCTTTACCTCCTTGTACACTGTCGACATCCATTAGCCCACTTGGATTATATGTCATTACCTTCTTGTGCACTGCCAGTATCCATTAGCCCACTTGGTTGTGTGTCTTTACCTCCTTGTACACTGTCGACATCCATTAGCCCACTTGATTATATGTCATTACTTTCTTGTGCACTGCCAGTATCCATTATCTCACTTAGTCATTTCTTGTTAACTCATTGGACTTAGGATCATGTTCTAGAATGTGAAAGTTTTGTATTTGTTTAATGTTCTAAGTAGACATCAGTATTCAAGGTTTTATCATACTGTTATAAGTATCTTGTGGACAAATAGTTAAGGAGTATGAATAACAAACAACATTAGGGTACAACTTCCATTAATGATGAAATTTCAACCTGTGATGATATTGAGGTATTAAGAATGTAATTTATAAACAATAAATAAACAACTGTAGCTAGAGCTATGGCTATCTAAAAATACAAAAATTCTTAAAATAGTTGTAGGAGAAAGAGAGAAGAGATTTTTTTGACCAAATGATTTTTTAGATTATACACTGCATTCTGTAAAATACTGTTTATGTTTGATTGTTTTCCATCCGAACTAGTGAATTTAAAATCCCAGTATTTGCATTATTGTTATATAGTGTGTTTACATAATTAAGGAAAAAAAAACAAAGACAATTGTATGTTTCATAAATACTTCATTTATTAGTGACCATGGTTTTGCCAGTAAAGGCATCATCAGGTACAAACTGAAATGGTTGTTGAAGTTAAAAGATTGAATGTTAATATGTACTACAACCTGTAATGTGTTATGCTTCGTATTTGAGATAAGGTGTTTTCATTAGTAATATTCAAATACGCCTAAGTCAATATTTCCTTTTTGAGTTGTATTGAGAAGAATTTAGCTTGTCATGACACTATTGATTAACTTGTTTTCTGTGTAAAATACTGTCTTAGGAACACAATTAAAGCATTTCCTTTCTTACATCTTTTCATGAACAAAATGATTACACATTACTTACTCTTTAGTATCTTCTATGTTTAGGGAATTCAAACTTGTGAATGATTTCAACAGTGAGAGAGAATCTCTGCAGAAGATGCTTGAGTCTGCTCAGTCTCAAATGGACCAACGGGAAAAGGATATTGCAAAGAAAGACCAAGAGGTACTGATGCTTGTTTAATATGTTAAATAATATATGCAGTTTAGTTAAACAAATTGTTTGGGTATTTCAATACAAATATAAATGATGCTCACCCTTCTATGATAGTTATCAGAATATATATATATGAGGTTCAAAAATTGATTGATAAAGTCGTATGCCAACACCACATACTTCACTTTCATATAGTATATATTTCATATTTATAACATTTTTTTAATTTTCCAGAACTCTAATTTGAAAGACAGTAAATTTGTTCAAGATCATTTTACCAATTCTGCTCTAGGTGTTACTTTCTGTATCAGGATCCAGTCATGCAAATGGTCTACCATTTCATTGATGAACATTGTATTGTTTCCTAAATTACCCCGTGTATATGAAACTGCTCAACAACTATCACCTATAGAGCAGAGATATTTCTGGATAAATTTCCTCCAGTTTTCTGATTGATCAAGCTACAGAGAAAAGGGGAATTGTAAATATAGTGTGGCATTTCGAACCACATTTATTTCCAACTTTGAACAGCCATGTCTTTCCTGTGAATTCTGACATTTCTGTTTTCATCTGTCTTTATAAAGTTTCTACAGCTAATCATGTATAAATTTTTTTTTCATTATTCAGTTAACCAGACAGTTTTCAATGCATTCTGAAGCAAAATATATTTTAATTTTCCTTTCCTTAAATACAGTTTCTTTTATTTAATTTTTTCAATACAGTTTATTACATTTCAGCTTTTAATTACAACATAAACCCACTACTACAATCATTTTTCCATCCCCTTGACATGAATTCCTGTACATGGTGAGGGGACCTCTCAGGGGAGGTTCTGTATTTTCAGTTACTTCCTCTGGGATCTAAACATCCACCCACATGAGAGGATCCTGATGGTTGAGTGGTGTCTGGGGCACTGCAACACACCACTTTGGCCTTGAATTCCTGTAGACAGGTGGCCTTGGGATGCCCCCCCCCAGGGTCAATTGGCTGGTCCACTCGGGCTAGGGTCAACTGAGTACCAGTGTTGGGCATTCTCAGTGGGTGTTTTGGAGATCGTGTCCAATGCCGGTGTTTTAGTATAGTGCTCACGAAACCCTGGCATTGCTGCAGTGTCCTTGTTTGACATTGTAGTGCATCCCCTCGTAGGACTCCATGGCGGGTGGGGTCAGTGGGCACTGAATCTTTCTTCTTAATTATGGATCCCCCCAATCCAAATAAAAAAATAGTTAAAAACTTTGCTTATTGTTAAACGACCATGCTTAGAAGACTCTGAACAGCAATCTCCACCACAAGGTGGACCTGTACCTTGCTTTCTGATCTTGCATTCGCCATCCGATAAATTTTTAGGGCAAATATTTCCCTTTTTTATTCAGAAGGGCTTAGAGGG